TTGCACATGTACAGGTGGAGCTTCTACAAAGTTTAGCACAGAACCACACACAGCCCTCATCCCTCAGCCTGCATGCAACCCAATAAACATTGTATATCGATTGCAGTACAGCCATTCGCAGCCCTCAGATAGCAAACATTGTATTTAGATTGTAGCAGAGCCACTAACAGCCCTCAGCCTGCACACAGGGCAATGCACATTGTATAGAGATTGTATTGGCGCTACTCACAGTTCACATTCCTCAGCTTGTAGGAGCAGGCAGTGATATTGCACATCCTGGCAGGCACGGAGCTGGGGGCCCTTACCCTGGGGTCCCTCCCCGCCCAGCCAGGGCCCAGCAGAGGGGCGAGGAGCCTCCTGCAGCCTCTCAGCACCATGTTGTTGTCACTTCTACACCGAAGCAGAGCAGCTGCTAAGCACAACACTCCAGGCCCCGCCCAGCAACACCTGACCCAATCAGCGCACCCAATGACAGCAGGCACCGGTTGCGAGGCTTGGAACGCACACTTCCGTCTTCTGAAGAGTACCAGCCAATCAGGGACTGTTTTGCAGCCACGCCCCCTCCCTTTGCCCCTGGGACAGAACAACGCTGAGCCCGACCACACCTGGATTTAAAGAGACAGTCAGCCTAAATGACATGATTTTGCTGAACTGGTCATGGAGAGGAGTTCTCTCTGCAGGTGACAGCAGGGCTGATGCAAGTCAGATGGAAGTCAATTGCAGGACAAAAGGAGGTTAACTGCAGGTCAGAAGGAGGTCTAATGCAAGTCAGAGGGAGGTCAATTGGAGAACAGGAGGAAGTTTTGCATCAGATTGGTTTTACATTGTCATACAGGCGCATGGGATTGCAAAATACGCTTGGAGCAGATGAAATGCAGGAGGAGTCGGACTAATGCAAGTCAGAAGGAGGTCAGTTGCAGGACAGAAGGAGGTCTAATGCACATCAGGAGGAGGTCAGTTGCAGGACAGAAGGAGGTCCGTTGCAGGACAGAAGGAGGTCCGTTGCAGGTCAGAAGGAGGTCAGTTGCAGGACAGAAGGAGGTCAGTTGCAGGACAGAAGGAGGTCCGTTGCAGGACAGAAGGAGGTCCGTTGCAGGTCAGAAGGAGGTCAGTTGCAGGACAGAAGGAGGTCCGTTGCAGGTCAGAAGGAGGTCCGTTGCAGGTCAGAAGGAGGTCCGTTGCAGGACAGAAGGAGGTCCGTTGCAGGACAGAAGGAGGTCCGTTGCAGGACAGAAGGAGGTCCGTTGCAGGACAGAAGGAGGTCCGTTGCAGGACAGAAGGAGGTCCGTTGCAGGACAGAAGGAGGTCCGTTGCAGGACAGATGGAGGTCATTTGCAGGACAGAAGGAGGTCCGTTGCAGGACAGAAGGAGGTCCGTTGCAGGTCAGAAGGAGGTCAGTTGCAGGACAGAAGGAGGTCAGTTGCAGGACAGAAGGAGGTCAGTTGCAGTACAGAAGGAGGTCAGTTGCAGGACAGAAGGAGGTCAGTTGCAGTACAGAAGGAGGTCAGTTGCAGGGCAGAAGGAGGTCAGTTGCAGGACAGAAGGAGGTCCGTTGCAGGACAGAAGGAGGTCAGTTGCAGGACAGAAGGAGGTCCGTTGCAGGACAGAAGGAGGTCCGTTGCAGGTCAGAAGGAGGTCAGTTGCAGGACAGAAGGAGGTCCGTTGCAGGACAGAAGGAGGTCCGTTGCAGGACAGAAGGAGGTCAGAAGGAGGTCAGTTGCAGGACAGAAGGACTAAAGTCAGATGACTGAGGAAATGCTTCCTCCTGCCTGCAGCAGACTGATGACATCATCTCAGCCTAGGCAAAGTCACCGATTGGAGCTCCTCGGTATATATTCACTTGGAAAGTCAGTGACAGGTCCACTTTACATCTTTCAGTGAGATAGAAATCTCCCGTGTACGTCACACTTGCTTTAGCTGCGCCGGCCCTTTAAACCTCTTTTATTACCTTCCCCCTCCTTCCCGCGGCATCCGGATCGCAATGTTCGCTGCGCCACCCGGAGGGAATCCGTGCCAAGAGAAGCACCGCACCCAGAGCCGGCGTGTATTCCCAGGCCATGCCCCGCGGTGCTTTCCATGGCAACCGACCCAAACCGCGCCGGGCAATTCCAAAGAAGGAAACAGCGGGAACATGGGGTCATGTGACCAGATCCTATGTAACGATTGTCTCCTGGAATTGATACTTCTTAATGTTCCATTGTTAAGGTAGAACTCCGGGGGGGGGGGGGCACAAAGAGGGGCAAAAAG